CCCCAAAACCCCAAAACCCCAAAACCCCACTACATCCTACACATAGAAACATCATCCCAAACCCCCTTGCTCTCCAATTTCCCACAAAATCCTCCCCTATAATCCTTCCTGCCTCTCCAATCCCCCAAACCTTCCTCACACCTCCCCAATCCTTAAGCCCCTCAAGACCTAAAGAACCCCTAAAATCCAGGCTCCTACCCTAACAGTAGCTTAAGAAGGATACCACCGGGTGTAGAACAACTGTGAGGTAGAGTGAACCTGACTGAAATTTCAAGGGAATTGGGGGTAGGACTGAGAGATGGGAGGGAAGGATGGGGATTTTGGGGTGGTTGGGGTGGGAATGGGGGGAGGGAGGTGGGTGAGAGGGAAGATGGGGGATTTGAAGGGAGAGGTGTGGTGAGAGGTGTGGGTTAATAATAAGTTAAGAAAGAGCGTGACTGTTCTGTTTGTTCTTCTAGCTTAACCAGTTGTAGGTCAATAATTAAAATATTATACATCATGAGATATTGTTTCTATTTCTTCATCTCCAAATAAGCTATAGGACAAGAAACTCGAGTGCTTAATACTTCCTTTCTCTTCTTCATCAATAAAATCTGAAGTTGGCTTTGTCTTGAGCAATTGCTTTTGAAGTAAGGCAGTTTCCTCAGCATTATCTCGCTTTACTAGAGCTAAATAAATTCTTAAGAATTTCTGAAAAATTTAGACCTAAAATTTAAGGACTTACAACCACTACTTTCAGTTTTAATCTGGATTTTATTTTCTTTCTTCGCAAGGATTATTTGCATTTCTTTAAAGGATTTCCAAAGAACGATCATGATTGAGATTGGAGGGAATAGTTCAGTGAAGTAGCATGTAAGCCATACATAATCATTAACATTTATAAGGGTATATGAAGGATCTTTATGATCTAGACCCATCATTTGAACATAAAAGTCGAGAGCTAGCCCTGCTCATCTTACCAAGAGCCAGAAGGCAATTAATGAGGTGTAGATTCTAATCGGAGTGGCTTTTTGCTTATACAAGGACCTTTCATTATTTTTAAGAATGCATAGGAAATAATTAGCAACAAAAAGTAGTAGTAAAGGTCAAATGAAGTTAAGTGCTATCATAAAGCCTGGCAGGATATTAAGCTTACTTTCAATAGTGAATGGATAAACCACGTATATAATGAAGCATAGACTAATAACAGATATATAAGCAACTTTCACAAGACATTGCTGAGTTTTGATTCTTTTCTCCCTGATACTAATCTGGGCTGTTGTCATAATTCAGAAGCTAGTCCATCTTCATGAATAAGTAAAGATAGAGAAAGTATGAAGAACTATAGGTCCATAAATTAGCCAGTTTCGTCCTAGTGGTACTTCTTTATCACTTTGACTGTTATACTCTCAAGTCTTTTCAGGTCCGAAAAACACATAAATCATGGCTGAAATCCTCACTAAATAGGCTATTACCAAGAATAGAATGATTGCTCTAAAAGTAGAACTCTCTGATCTTGATCTTCCAGTAGTTTCGTGCCAGGATTCCAATAGCTATCAGACAGAAAGCATTCAGGATTATTACCACAACCGCTAGAGGAATCAAACTTGAGTTCATAACCATTTTATCAATTTATAATGGACTTTCGGGGTTTTGGGGTTTTGGGGTTTTGGGGTTTTGGGG